AAATTAAAATAAAAAAAAAAGAAAAAGTTCTTCATTGGTGAACATACAATGAAAGAAGAGTACTATCACATTCATTAACATGCTAATTTCATATTATTTATATGTTAATATTTGTTTAGTATATCGTAGAGGATTATTAACAACTTGAATATTTATAAAATTTTTAATAATTTCATTTTTTTTCCCGAGAAATATTGATTTAATTCGAAGTTTGTTCTAAATTACAACAATTATACTCCGTCATTTTATAGGTTGTTATTTTTTTTAACTTTTTTTAAAACTATTTTTTAAACCCTATTTTACGATTGTTTTTTTCTATGCTAACGTTTTTTCCTTTATTTAAAAATATTTTTTTTAAAAAATCTTTGCAAGATTCATTGAATAAGGTAAATCTCAAATACAAAATTTTAAATATATCAGAATTATTTATAATTGTAAATAAATGCAACTAAAAAAAGAAAGAAACATTGTAAAAATAAGTTGGTGATTTAATTTCTCAGAAAAAAAAACGGAATTTTCTTAATAGAGAATTTTCAGTATTACTTTCTTTTTTAAAAAAGAATTTTTATATCATTGTTATTTTTTCTATTCTTTAAAAAAAAACTTTCAATATTAAATCAGAAATTGAACACCTATCATGAAATAATCAAGCTTATATGCAAAATCTTGAATTTTAAGAATGAATTTTTGTTTAAATATTTAATTTCAGGATTAAAATTTCATTCAAATGATTAAATTTGAATCAAAGCATTTCATTAGTTATGATATTATGTATGTATACAATATCATCAAAGTTTATAATGTTAAAATTAAATCCTTTGTAAGATTTGTTGCAAAAACAAAAAATATGAAAAGTGCGCAATGGATTTTTTAAAAAGTAGGAAATTTACAAATCAAATCAAATATTAAACTTAAAGTAATCCGTATTTTAAAATTGATGTAAATTAAAAACTGAAGTTTAAAGGTGGCGGAATTGTTCATTTTATTGCTAAAACTTAATTTTGCATATTTTGTTTGAGGATAATTATTGATCAAAATTAAGGTTTACTTTTAAGTTTACCTTAAAGCAAACCTAATTAATACAGTGGATATATAATGCAGTGTTAAAATAACTGCATAATCAAATTAATATATTATCTGTATTAATTAAGATTTGTTTCATAAAATTTATTAATTATGATAATTTTATTATGATTACTGTGCACAGCTTTATCATGATTTTTTTTTCTTCTTGTAATAGAAATAATTATATATCTTCTAATTAGCGCCTAATTTAAATGAATTTATTTCCAACCAATACTTGTTTTTAATTCATATCTATAACAAATACATTTAAGAAATTGCGATAAGGTGTTGGATAAAACTTAATTGTAAACATAGATCATGTATTGAACTATGACAAGATTAAAATTGTCAAATGACATTCAAATTTATGCCTAATTATAGATAATTAAAATGATGATTAATATTCCCTCTTCCTTAAATAAATGTAAAATCAATCTTTCCTATAATTAATAGAAATGAAGTTTAATGGTTGTTAATCTTTTCTTGATTAATAACCAGACCATTTTGGCTTTTTAATTTGTAGCTAGCATCATAAAATTTAAAAATAATAAGTTTTGTTAATTCAAAAACAAATTTTAACCAAAATTTTTAACTTCTAATGCATCAATTAATTTATCAAACATTAATATGAATTGCTTTGCTTGCTTTCCACTGACCGCTCAACCATCTTTGCGGAACATATTTTAGTTCTCGCGGACCACCTGTGGTCTGCGAACTAGCGGTTGAAAACAATGAAAACTAAACGGATGTTTGATGTATTATGAAAATTCCTTTCTATTATTATAATTCTTGTTGTCTTATGTACCATATTTAGGATAAAGTTGAATTAACGGATTTAGCGATTTTGTTAAATCTCGATATTTTTCCTTTTTCCGCTTTTGATGTAATCGGAAACGATGAAAACCGACTAACAAAAATAGTATTGGATTGAAATGAGAACCGGAATGCTTCTGTAATTAAATCTAACTTATGTAACATTAGTCCTTCTCATTTATTAACAAATATTACAGCTATGTAAACATTTATTTAATTACATAACATTCAAGGAAAAAAAGGACAAAAAAAAAGAAAATTGGTAGCATAGAGGAAGGAAAGATGAATGAATCAAATTAGCTATTTAATTATTTCAATAATATTTTAATTAATAAGCATTTTATTAAATTTAATAAAATTTAATTATTATTTAACAAAAATTCTTTTTATATACCTTCAAAAAAATGCTATTTTATATTTTATTTTAAAAAAATTGAAAATTTAATAATTGCTTGTATGACATACATTTAATAAAAGAGTTGTAATTGCATATTTATCCATACACTTATCTAATAAGACTGCATTATAGCATTATTGATTTTTTCGGGTGAAGCAGGATAAGTGAAGAAAAAAATTCTCAAATTTTTAGAAAACAAATTTATTTATGTACAATCACATTATTCAATTGTCGTTGTTTTCTTTGTACTCTTTTTGTAAATTGTCAGAATTAAATCATTTAAAAAAAAAAATTGAAAAAAAGAAACTGAAAATTAACTTTAATATTAGGTTAATTTTAACAACAATTTTATCTGTTACTATTAATTTCATTAAACTCCTCAATTAATTTCATTTGTCAAAATTCATTCCGTGCTAATTTAATTTGTTAATTTTAATTTCATCAAAGAATTATTTGCTTTTTTCTGTTACTGCAATAACTCAATTGTAATTGCTTGGAAAATATCTGACAAGATCAAAATATGAAAAGGTCAAAGTAAGTACTGACATTAAATGTCACACATTAAAATGACATCAGTGGTATGAACAAAAAGGAAAAAAGTTCAATGGAAGTAAATAAAAAAAAGATGATGAGTTCAAAAATAAGGCAATAAGCTGATTGAAATACAATTAATAGATTAGAAAATAAAATAATAAATTCAAAAAAAAAGTTCACAAAAAAAACAATGAATTCAATAGTTAAATAAATTTGAATAATGGAATAATAAATCCGGGAATGGAATTATCAATTTAAAAGAAAAAAAAAGTAATCAAAAAGAAAGAAATAAATTCATTCAATCGTGCAATAATAAGTTCAACAATAAATTAATAAATGGAAAAAATTTATCGTAAAAAAAAAAGAAATTTCTCAACATAATTATTAACTATATCTTAAAAGCACTTTTCCGCTTCGTAAATATTTCTTTGCGCTTTATTTTTAGCCGGAAATATTTGGTTATGGGAAAATAGCATCGTTGCAAACGGAATTGTTGGTCAACCTTCTGATCCGTCTTTACCGTTGACCCGTCCGCCTAATCCTACCTACCACTTTGTCATCAACTTTCAAAGCAGTCATCACTCATTACCGTAGTGGACACTTTGTTAAGCATTTCCCATTTGAGGTTCTTTTTTTTCATTTATCAATGAAAGAAAAAAGTAAAATAATCTAACTTTTGTTTATGTTAATTATATTTATGCTATTTATCGTTTTAAAATTGAAAAAATTTCGAAAATTTTTAAGATTATTTAATTAATTCATGTCACATAATCAATTCATGTCACATAAAATCAAATTCATGCCACACAATCAATTCATTTCATCAATCCATGTCACATAACTTCATTGTGATCATCTACCTGATTACACCTAATTATATACCTTGTTGATTATCTCATTTTTTACCTTTCATTAAAAGATAAAAAGATATAAAAAAAAAATTATAAAATGTTGAGATATTAATTTACTGTATCAAATCATTTACATCATCATATTGAATGATTTTATTGTTCAAAAATAATTTCGAAATTTTTAAATGTTCGAAAATTGAAATATTTGAGACAAAAAAAAAACCAGTTGTTCGTTTTTGTCTGATTTGCTCAACAGGTTAAAATTAGCTTAAAGGAATTTCTCGTTTCATGTTCATCAGTTTTTTTCTTTTAAATTTTATTATTTTGTAATTGGAATTATAAACGGAATTACAAAACGTAAAAACACGGAAAACACGTATCACACGTAATGACGGAAGAAATTTATGATTACTTTTGTTTTTTTTTTTTTTTTTTTTTGTCTTCATTTCCAAAAGTAAAGAAAATAACTGTTTTTGGTATAATGCAGTAAAGATCAACAAAGCAATGCAAAAATTTTTTAGTTTCATATCCAAACAGAACCGAACTAATCATTCATCCATTTTATTTGCCTAAGGATAAAAGACGCTCTAAGCTATCTTCCTTCCAACCCCCGAACATTGAAGATAATAAAACTACCGA